CAGAGAAGCACACAAAAATAAAATATGTTAAATGGGACATAGAGAAGCATTTTTTGGGAAAAAAAATATTTTGATCAAATCCCGTTGAAAATTTGTCAGCACGTTGATTTCAAAAAGTTATATGGCATAAAAAAATATGTAATTCAAACACATGAGTCAAAAGTTATGGCATTCTGAAGTTTTACGTTAAAATTTTTAAAATTTTGTGTCACTTGTCACTAAACAATAAGCCACTAAACTCATAGCCACTTATGGCGACCTTGATGGTTTCAAAAAACGTGTCACATGACAAATCATATTAGTTACAACTGTCACCGAATATAAAGTCGTGGCATTTTGATAAGTTGTGGGTTAGTCGCTGATATAGGTAGTTCCCTACACTCAGAAAGGGTATCAGATAAATATGAAATCAATTGTTTTCTTTGTTCTCTCTCTGTTTCCTTTCTTTCCTGTTCTTCTTGATTGAAAATTTCAAAATTATGATTCGCGTCCCTTTCATAAAGTCATAATTTTAAACTCAGCTATTCGAATAAGATATTTATTTTTTAATTTTATATAACTTTTTAATATTTACGCACTAAAAGAGTTATTTTTTAGTATTGAAAAATGAAAATAAGAATAGGAAATAAATAATGTCATTCATAGAAATAAAATATATTAAATAGGGCATAGAGAAGCACACAAAAATAAAATATGTTAAATAGGACATAGAGAAGCATTTTTTGGAAAAAAAAATATTTTGATCAAATCCCGTTCAAAATTTGTCAGCACGTTGATTTCAAAAAGTTATATGGCATAAAAAAATATGTAATTCTGTTATCAAAAAAAAAAAAAAATATGTAATTCAAACACATGAGTCAAAAGTTATGGCATTCTAAAGTTTTATGTTAAAATTTTTTAACGTTAATTGTCACTAAACGATAAGCCACTAAACTCATTATCACTTATGGCGACATTGATGGTTTCAAAAAATCGTGTCACATAACAAATCATATTAGTGTGGCATTTTGATAAAATTTCTAACCCTGTAATATTTAGTCAAAAAAATTTGCCAAAAAAATGGCACATTCAATGGCCCCTACTGGGGTCAGATAACTGTTGAAAACGTTGAATTTCATTTGCCGTAAGGAGAAGGAACGCTGGTGTAAATTATTTGCTTCCTCCATTAAATTTATTATCGTCAAATTTATGTTAAGTCTTACAAATTATATGGGTATTATTGATAATTAAATAGTGTAAATCTTCTATAGAAAGAAAAAAATCTTCTATAATTTTTTTCCTTTTTGTAATTTTTACCTTAAGTTATATAATTAAATACACTATACCGTAACTAAATTTATTTTATTGCAGTCTTCATTTTTATTACAATTTTTTATTCAAGAATAATTATTTTACATAGTCAAAACTACCCCTTATCTTTTTCCTCCTCTTCTATTGTCATCTGCTCCAGTGCAACCCTCCATGATTTATTGAAAAAAATCTTACTACTACCATCAAATCATCACAGATACATGCACATATTGCGGGAGGTTTGAAATAGATGCAAATAACTTAACCGGATATGGATATGGATATGGATCTGGATTGGAAAGTAAAGAGCTACTTAAAAACACTATATTTATTTGATATACAAAAAAAAAAAAAAAAAAAAAAACACTATATTTATTTTAAGATTTTCAAATTATGAAGGAATAGGAGTTTCTTGATTCACCATTTTGTTCCTATTAATAAAAATATTATTTTGTTCATCTTCTCAAATTATATACTAATTTGTCACTCTTCTTAAGTTATATACTAATTTGTCCTTCTTTGATCAAAATTTGATTGATACTTATTTGGGTTCGCTAGATAAGTTATCTGCAGTAAGTTCAAAATGACATCGTTTTAAGGTGGAAATCATGGAAATTTTGTAATTTTAATTTATTTCAGGGTTATTATAGTTTTTATAATTATAATAATTTTTTAATCTTTCAATCCCAAAACGACGTCGTTTTGAGAGTAAATGTAGATAATTTATCTGTACTAACTGCAGAAATATTTTTCTGTACTTATTTATGCAAATGTATCATTTACTCGAGTGAATCTAAGGTTTCGTCAACTAAGAATAAATTAATATATAATTTAAAAAAATAAACAAATTAATATATAATTTTGGAAGAGAGAAAAAATAATAATAAAGAATAAAATAAGGGGAAAACAATCAATTAACCTATTTCATAATCATGACAAAAATGTATTCGCTGGTTTATTTAATTTTGGGCAGAGTCTAGTTTTCTTTTTTATGGGGTTCAGGAAGTGAACTACATATATCAAGGTCTCTATTCCCTACATTGCCAACCAAATCCACTATTTTTGTTTTTTTCCATTGTAGTACTTGTGCTCCTCTTCCCCATTTTCTTAAGGTAGTAGGCTTTTGAACTATAACAAAAAATATAAATAAATAAATAACAAAAAATACTCCCCATTTTTTTTTATAATAAAATACTCCCCATTTAACCTCAACTAGACAATTCTTTATACACCCTTATATATTTATAAAGAAGCCAAATTTGAACCCGTGAATTTTACCTCTCCTCCAAACTCAAGTACGCTTTTGAACTCCATTGAAAGATAAATGATTTTAACTTTCATGCCTTGAGAGCCATATTAAGAAGTTTTGCCGCCATTCTATTTTAATTTCATTTCTCATAAAGATTTTGTGGACACTTTTATAGTTTGTTAGAGAGACATGTAAAGTTATTGATGGAACTTCACTTTCAAGCAATATTATTAAATCTAAACCTGTCATCGACTCAATTAGGATATCAGGTCATTGATTCAACCAATGGATTATTGGTTGAACTGCTTAAATTGAATTTATGTAAAAATATATAATAAATATATAAATAGAAATAATACGATAACTAAAGTAATTTGACTTATTGGTTATCATATCACTCTCCTTTCCTTATGTGCCAAGGCCAAATCCCAAGAGTGCTATTGTAGTGGAATATTTTGCCACAATTTTAAAAAAATTTCAAAAATTTGACCAAATTGCATGCATGACTGATTAATTGATTGAACCAGATCAGTTAGGAGTCCGATTTTCGGTTCAACCAATCCAACTGGCCTAGTGGGGCCAGTTTTAATAACACTATTTTCAAGCTTAAGCTTTTAGGTGGAATGATTGCTTTACATGGTATCAGTCTATCAGAGGCAAGGTGATCACGAGTTACAAATTTGATCCTCACTACTCCCACTTTTTAAGTGGAATTACATTAGCATAATGTAGAACCAAAAAATGAATTTATACAATATCCACGCTTTAAACTTAACAGAACTCTTGTGCGAAGGGACATATTAAAAAGATTTATAAAACTATCGGTGGACCTTCACTTTATAACTTAAGCTTTTTAGTTAAAATGTTTCTACTTAGTCCTCTTCTTATTTAGCAGGCAGTATATATAGTGTGTTATCCCACTTAGTTTCGAATTCAATCTCAATTCTTGAAATGACATACACTAATCTTTATGAAATAATAGACAATGACTATCCTACAATTGGTTAGCACTTTCTCTTATTGAGAGTGGATGAGATATGCTAGGGAGCAGCATATGGCATTGCAAAGAACTGTAGCAAATGTCAAGAGTTGAGGAGGAAGAAACTAGAACATGGGTGTTATTTTCTTTTGGACCATTTTTTTTTATTTTTAAATAATTATGATTTAAATGAAAAAAGAATATAATATATGATAATAAATTAATATGTAGTGTGTTCAAATGCATTAATTGGGGAAGACTGCAAAAAGAATAGTAAATCAAGGAGGCAAAACGCATGTTTTCCAAGAAAAAAGTACATTTCTATATTTTAAGTTTTGAGAGAAAATTTCAACATTTTTACATATTAATAAAAGGGAAAAACTACTCTTATGCTACATGTGATAACTTTTTCTCCTACACACCCTTTGATAACTGTGCCACATTTTTTTTTTTCAGATGGTGGAGCCCATAAATTTATCTCTATGACATGAGATAACTTATCTCCTTTAACATGAGATTAATAAAATCCTTAATAAAATCATATCCTTGTAGCTGTCGTTTGTTTGATATGTTGTGCTAATTACAAGCAAAACAACAAAACAATGAATGAAAACTACTACTTTTTATTTTTTACTGGTGAAGTGAAAAGTATTCATCAAACTCGGTTAAATCAAGGATGGGACAAAAATTAAAAATAATAAAGGATGAATTGCAGGGCATATATCTGTCACACGTGTCTGACAGATTGATCACGAAGGCATGGTGTAGCTAGGCAGCTAGCTAGCTAGCTGGTAGTAGCCACACTGGTGCATCCTCTTAATTTAAAATTTAAAATTACAAAAATATTCATGTAAAAGTATAAGAAATCATAATTATATTTAAATTCACTCCACTGAATTTCTTATTTGCCAACTCATAACATCTTAGTGTGGCAAAGTTTATACTCTTGTTTAGTTACTGGCAACGGCCCACAAAGGTAAGTGACATGACCAACAAAGGTTTAACTGTTTGCACATTTCAAAGCACGGAAGTAGACCCAAAAGGAAGAAAATTGTCAATGTATTCATTCACTAATGATAGAGTCAAGGACAATGACAATAATGATTTGTTATTTGACTATCCGGGAAACATAAGGGTTTTTTTTGTTCTTTTAAACAGCAATTTTTCTTTTTGTTGTAGAGGTAAACATATTGGTTGAACAAAAACTGATTGATAATTGTTAATACTAATAATCCTGCACAGAATACTGCAAACCTACGAGTCATGTATTCAGCTGACATTCGAAGAGGACTTTCTAGTGTATGATAACTAATATAATTTTACATTCAGGTGAATATACATGGACTGTAAACAGTGGACAAGTGCACTTATCTGTAAAATAGTACATGTGAAAAGTAGCACCAAGAGATGTAAGGCTTTTATGATGCTACAACATCTGAGATTTTTCAGCAAAATCTGAAAAATGAGCTCCATGGATCTAAATAGATTTCATTATGAAGAAATAAGTCCAAAACATAGCAACATTGAAAGACTGTCAAACAAAAACCATCATACATATTGCTCCAACTTTAAAGTGGCAGTTTAAAGCACTATTGCATTTACTGAGAGCAGAAACTAAAAACTGAAAGGAGGATATTACATGAAGCGTTAAATACACAGATCAATTCACCAAACATGAATCTTGACCTCCATCACAATTTAATTTTTGGTTTAGATGGTCAATCTTTTTAACCTGCTTTCCCATAAATATTGTCCAAGATTAAACCAGAATAGAAGAAACAGATCCAGACAATGTCAATGTATTCTCGAACATCCTTTTCCACCAAAAAATTAGGTCTCTGCTCAAAGGCCCTCAAAGAACCGCACGTGGTCTTCAAATGTCTCCCCATGTCTGATTTTGCTCACTGATCCATCATCTTCAACCTAAAATGTTTTACAAGATAATATATTATTATTTATTGATAAATCATTGATGAATTAAAATTGTGTTTCATGCAAAGTTTCCCATTGGATCGTGTTATAAGTGGCACAAAACTTAAAAAGTTAAAACTTATCTGGAATTTCACAACAGGTATAAAGCTAATAACAACAATGCAAACAAGACGTAGTTATTCAATGTTATAGGAAGTATTAATCATAGTAAGTAATATTCTTATCCTTTTATTTATTTGTCCTTTAATGTACATAAACTTAAAGGAAGGGATAAGGATCAAAAAGTGGGAAGATAACCCAGTTGCAGTTCATCTAAAGTGAAGGGTACAATTTAAAGAGTAGATTGCATTCCAACCACCATGGATAAAATAGTTAGTGAGAATCTTTATTAACCAATGAGTCAAGCACTGATGAGATTAGCAAATTCCTCTCCATACTACCCTCAACTTTAGAGAAGCTACACCAATGAGAATAGCGAAAAAAAAATTTTAAAAGAAAAAAAGTTCCATACCCAATACTCAGGAGGCCTCATCTTTAGATTGTAAGTTGATGCCATACTCATACAATAAGCACCAGCATCATGAACAACCAGACCAGTACCCTGCAAATTGAAACTCAGTTTAGGTAGTGCAATCAAGTGGGCATTGTCATCATCATACTTCTGTACAAATTAAGCAAGTATTTTATTGATGCAACTAATTAAATATTAGATCAATACATAATATTACCTTGGCTGGTGTTGGAAGTTGTCTATCTTTTCCAAGGAAATCTGCAGACTCGCAGACAGGACCGACCACATCAAAGTTTGCAATCTCGGCATTTGCTGGAGCAGGGGAAACTAGCTCTATATGCTGCAACCAAACAATGACACGTCATCCAATATTCAAGGGAAAGAAATTTCCTAAAAATAAAAAGGCACAACCAAGTGACATTTGGGTAGCATCAGACAACCATAATGATCTTGAAATATGCTGTCTTTTAGAGGTCTATCAACTCCCAAGCAGAAGGGAAAGGTACAATATTTAATTATATCGCATTTTAATTATTTAGAATACCAAACTTGACAAAATGCAGAAGCTTTCTCTCTAGATTTGGCACAGGAATGAGAAAGCGGGGCATAGATGATAGGAAGCCAATGTTGACATGACACCGCAAACATATTATGTTGGCCATATTTTCATAGTAAAATATGTTATAATAGTACATCTTATTTTAGATAAAAGCACATGCACCAAAAGGGTCTAGAATCTTTATTAATCTCCAGCATAATTCTTAGAGAAGAAGGAGGGAGCATCAACCCCAAAATTTCAATAAGAAAATACTATATGTAATACATCTGCATCAATATTGATGTATTTTATGATAAACCAAAGGAGGCCAAGAGCATTTGGATAATTACCTGGTAAGCATCATAAAGACTAGGACGTATAAGTTCAGCCATACTTCCATCAATCACAACAAAGCTTTTAGATCCATTAGTTTTGACACCCGTCACTCGGTTAACTAAGCAACAAGTGTTTGCAATGAGTGATCTCCCTGGTTCAATGATGAGATTAAGATTACGGGAAAGGACAAGCTCCCGTACCTATTCCAGCCATGAATATACAAAATATTAAGTTAGCAAGAATGCTATGAAGTATACAATAAAAGAAAAATATACCGCCTTACCAATATATATATATATACATCTTGCTTATTAGAAAGAAGGGGAGCTTGGCACAATGGCTAGTGTGATCGCCTTGTGACCTGGAGGTCGTCATGGGTTTGATTCACAATCAGTCTCGTAAATTTAAGGTAAGACTACCTACTATTGACACTTCCCTGGACCCTAGGCAGAGTGGGAGCTTTATAGTACCAGGTTGACCTTTTTATCTTGCTTATGAGAAAGCATTTTGATAAAGAGGCAGTAAAACATGTCTAATTCTGTGAAAATAACTGGCAATGCTAAGAAGCAGCAGCAGATGTTCCTCTAATTAAAATATACACAAACAAACATACACACACCTCTTCCAGTATATGTGAAAAGACAAATAAATACAAAATTGGGAACCAATATAAATAAATACCATGTGAAATCTGTGAGTAAATACGTGTATTACGAGTCACTTCGATACTGAATATGAACTACTTACTAATCACAAATAACAAGTGTTCACCCAGGACCGTATCAACCGCTAGTGACTAGTGAAAGGTCCCTTGATTGTATGGAAATTCACCAGGGACGGAAACTTCCATCCTCATTAAAAGCAGATATTTGATAAGATTGCAATTGACAACCAAAAATTCGTGCATCTCAAAAGATGACAGACATAGTCCCTCAAACACCAAATAGTATACATTCATGTAATTTGTGCAAATGTAATAGTTCTCAGACAGCTTAATTTACACGTCACAGCTTAGAAATGCTACATTTAATTATAAATATTGCAGTATTAAGAATGCCCATTTATCAGTAACTAGTGATTTCTTATTCTTGTAAGGAATTGCAAACTTAATACGTAACCATATAAAATGTGGGAAGATAAAGTGAGTTATCTGGGGTAGAGTCCTCACAGTATCAATGAGATCTCTGGGTGTAGGAAGGATGGCACCAGAATGATAATAATCTATTCCAAGTCCACCACCAATATTTAAATAATCAACTTCAAAACCCTGAGCTCGGATTTCGTCAATGTAGTTGACCATAATAATGGCAGCATCCCTGAAAATGTCCACCTGAACAAAAAAAATGATCAAGCGAGTTTTCAACATATTTAGGAAGATATTAAGAATCAACGTATAATAATGCAAATTAACAAAGGAAATTTATCCAACAAAAAAAAAGGGCCAGGTAACCATAAAAAAAACATAAGCAGGAGACAGTGGACAGGAGAAAAGAACATACCAAAGTAACAAACCAAAAAATAAAAAGTAAAAAAATCAACTTGATTAACAATAATAAAGCAATTATTGCCATGCTCAGTCCACATTTATCAGATACAAGTTGAAACAGGATAAGATGAAAGAAGAAGAAACATATAAAGATTTTATGAATATACCTTGGTAATTGTTGATCCAAGATGGCAGTGGGCCCCTACAAGCTTTAACTCATTAGGATGCTCCTTCACAGCATCTAGAAACCACTGCAGCTTCTCATTTCTTATGCCGAATTTGGAGTTCTTATTCCCAGTTGCAACATACGGATGGACCTAAGAATAATGAAGATCAAACTTTGTTAGAAATTTTCATCATAATAACTATTATATGAAAATGAAGATGAGAGCTGGAAATTTGGTGGTATTGAGTCGGGCAAACAGTGATGTTGTGTAGATAGCAGTCAGTCACAACTAGTTATAAAGTTTTGGTTACAATGAAGGTCAAGTTCTAGTCATGGTTAAAAAGGAATCTCTGCAGTAAGGGCCTAAGAGGGACTCCAATGTAAATAATGAAATAGAGGATTTTGCAATGTTAGTGGAAGAGAGATCATAAGATAATAATAGAACCTGTTTCAATCATGTTAAGACCCTTGCATGACAAGTTTAAAATTCAAAAATCCTATTAGCTAAAATGTAATTTTATTAGAAAGAGAGCATTTAATAAGTTTTTCAGGACCCTTATTTTTTTCTGTCATCACTTCAGTTGTGTATCAATTAATCATAATTGAAAAGACATTAATTATTAAACCACTCCCCGTTAAACCCGACTAGCGAGTGTGAGGTGAAGGTAATCCTTGTATGCAGCCTTACCCTTGCATAATTGCAAATAGACTGTTTCCTGGATTCGAATCCATGACCTTTCAGTCATGAAGGAGCAGCTTTACCACTGCTCCGGTTCGCCCCCTTTAATTGAAAAGACATTAATACCTCTAAAAAAATTTATTAAAGGCCGCCGCTCGTAACAAACTTTTTAACTCATGAAGAAAACTCATAAAAATATTAATATACCTGTGGATCCACATCAGGATTAATCCGAAGTAAAACATTCACCCTCTTTCCAGCAATTCTTGCAGCCGCTACAATGTTTTCTAAGTCAAATTCACTATCAATGTTGATAAAAACACCTTCTTTGGCAGCCAAGACCAAATCCTCCAAAATTTTCCCATTTCCATTAAAGATACACCTATTTTTTTTAAAAAAAGAAAAATATTACTAAGAACCAGTTACAGAGAATTGCAAAAAAATATAATTTTGAAACAAAGCTAAGCAAGTTCCAAATGATGTGTGTGTGTGTGTGTGTGTATATATATATATAGGTGCATAAAGGATCCTAAAATAACAAATAGATAGACACAGTGTAATTCAACCTTGTGGGATCAAACCCAGCACGAAGAGCCAGTCTAAGCTCATTCCCACTTACAAGCACAGCACCACAACCCAACTGCCTCAAATGCTCCAAAATCTTTAAATTATTGTTGGCCTTGATGGCATAACCAATAATAGACCTCAAACCCTCCAAGGCATCCCTATAGGCTTCAACATTTCTAGTAATCTGAGGCTTACTGTACAAATAGAAAGGCCTTTTCTCAACAGATCCCATAATTTCATGCACTTTAATGCCCTCACAGTACAGAAACCCATCTTCAGACTTGGTGAAACAGTGCTGAAAATGAGTCTTATTCTTGGAGTCATGAAGTGGGAGTTTAGCAGTGATCTTCTGGGAGAGAACGGCTCTGAGAATCCGCGGTTTAACGGTAGCTTTGAGGGGTAGAATTAGGTTTTGGGTGAAAGGGTTTTGGTTCAAAGGGTGATTAAAGGTTTTGGAAAGGGAAGGAGAATGGTAAAGGAGGTGTGAGGAAGCCATTGAAGTGGTTATGGTGTTCCTGTGAAACAAGTGAACTTATTAATCTCAATTATCTTCCATTACTGCTATAGAAAAATAAAATAAAAAATTCAAAGCATCAATATTTTCTTTTGCAGATATGTTCCTTCAGTGTGATGGAGCAAAGGAATAACATGATCAAAATAAAAGTAACAACAGACATTGTCAAAACTGAAGGTGTGCAATGAAATGTGAGAGTTTACAAACATGTGGAAATGACTAATAAAGTAAAATTGATTTGGTGCACAATAACAGATACAAATATCATCACATAATGAAACAGCAAAGGTATATGTAGTGGAAGAGACAGAGCTTACCAGGAACCACAAAACAGGAACAACTGCAAGTGTGCGCAATGGAAAGTTGCAGCTCAAAACTCTTAAAACCCTTCTGAGTTAGGTTTGTCAATTCGATTTAATTTTGTTTTTGCTTTTAATGCTTTAAATTTTGAAACATCTCTCAATGGAACATCTTCATTTGATTTTTTAGGGCAAAGGATCTATCTTATTAACCGAGATAAATTATCTCGCACGGTCTAAAATGAAGTTGTCTTGGGACAGAAATTAAGGTTAGTCTTTCTTATTATAATTTTTTAATCTTATAACCAAAAACGATATCGTTTTGAGCTCACTACAAATAACTTTATCTCCCGTAACTCTTTTTCCTTGAATTTATTCGGTGAAACATGTCTGCTGATTTGGACTAGTTATTTTTTTTATAATCAATTTATAATTAAAAAAAAATATTTGTCAACATAATTTTGTGTCATTTTTTATGAAATTATTGTTTTGGTGTATTTTTGTATTCTTTTTTTCCTTCATTTTCTTTTTTTATTAATTTTATAAAAAAATTTGTAAAATAAAAAAAATCAAAAACACACTTAAATGACATAATTTTATCAAAAATAATACAAAATTATATCATTTAAAATAATAAATACTTCATCCTTAAAATAAAATATATGGTATGATATTTTATAAAGACTCGAGCTAAACGTGGCCCATCAAATTGGACTGGACTAATTTTATAACACACCCGCATGCTAAAGCTGTATTTAACAGTGATATTTAAAAAGAAACAAACAAAAACTGAAGTAACGTTCACTGTTCAGTGTGCATTACATGCACATACCCGATTAAAAAAAAAAGAAGAAGCTAATCTATATATAATATCTCTGTCTATAATTATCATATTATTTTTACTTTTTTTGTTTGCTTTTAAGAATTTTTAAAGAAAATAATAAAAAAAACAAAAATTTAGAGTGACTTTTAGTTTGTGAAAATATTTTTTATTAATAAATACACAAAGTATCACCTTTTTATTATACTTTTGTTTTTAAGATTTTTACAAAAGGATTCGTAAGGTTTGGGTTGACCGTATAATGTTGGATCTGCTTCTTGTGGGTTGGTTGCTTAAATCCATTTATATGTGGGTGATAATATTCCCTAATTTAGGCTCTCCCTTGTTCGTCTAATAGTACTATGTCTATTAGAGCCTGGTTTGACTTGAACTAACCTTTTTGGTTAGAGGTGGGTTGTGCCACTGTTGAGGGAAACTCTTAGAGGGAAATTGTTTGAATATTAAAGTTAAATGAAGTCTCACATCAGATGCTAATAAATTAAGTAAAGACCAAAATGCGAAGATCGATAAACCTAATTAATGTCTTAAGATTTTAAATTGAGATATGATATTTGATCCCGTTAATGTAGGTTTCTCACGCCCATTTGTTGATTGGAAGATAATCTCCTCTAACAATAATAATAGTGCATATAGCTATACGAAAATATTTTCCTATCTCTATAATTTTGTCTTACAAATTTTTTAAATAAGTCTCTTAGTTTTAGGAAAAATGTTAAATGAAATATATATTTGATATCCTGAGAATATAAAAAAAAAATTAAAAAGTGAAGTTATATCATTTTGAAATTGAGTGAAAAATATTTTTATAATTTTAATTTATTCCGAGTTATATGTTATTTTGGATATTAGATAATTTTATACCGAGAGAAACATTAATATATATATATATATATATATATATATATATATATATATATATAATAAATAAGTGTTTGTCCTTTAAAATGACACCACTTGTATCATTTCACTCTCATAAAGATGTGAGACTCATACCTTTACTTTTTTTTGTCTACTCTCTCTTTTTCATGATTTATCTTACACAATTTTACCTCCTTTAAACTGACACACATTTTTCCATATATATATAGGGTTCATTTCTTTCTGCAGTCAATGTAGATAAGTTATCTACATTGAGCCCAAAACGATGTCGTTTTGGGGCAGAAATCAAAGTATTTTTAAATTATATTTTATTCTAGGATTATAATAGTCTTTCTCATTATAACTCTTTAATCTTTCAACCCAAAATGACGTCATTTTGGGAGTGAATGTAGATAACTTATCTACATTGAATGTAGAAACATTAAATCCATATATATGGCTTTATTAGTCTCCTTTCACATAGATAGTTATCTTATGTTGTAGAGAGAAAATGGGTGGGTCCCACAATTACAAGAAAAAGGGGGAAAAAAAGTAGGGTGCGAAAATCGAAGAGAGAGAGCATGAGAGAATTTATCTCATGTAAAAGGAGAGTAATATTTCTCATATATATATAAGATTTAATGTTTCTAGTATTAAAGGAGATAAATTTTATCTCTTACATATATATATATATATATATATATATATATATATATATATGAGGTAGGATCCGTTGACACTGGTGTCAAATTTGAAGTTTGACACCTCATCTGAGAGCCGTTAGATCAAAAAAGATCAATGGTGTCACATGCTTAAAAATCAGAGTCGTTGATCTTTTTTGATCTAACGGCTCTTACAAGAGGTGTCAAACTTTAAATTTAACACCGGTGTCAAAGGATCATGCCTCTCTCTCTCTCTATATATATATATATATATATATATATATATATATATATATATATATATAGTGTGTGAGACCCATATGAACTCATATAAAAATAAGAGAGAAACAAAAAACATTAGCTCCACACATTTTTATGTATATATAAAAGATAAATTAGAGAAACAATAAACCCATATATATAATAGGAAAGGTTATACTTAACAAAGTTTACCACTTCTTGTCACCAAATCTTACCATTTGATTTCTGTCAATTTAACAATTATAATTTATTAAGAATTAATAATTAATTAATAAGTGTCATTCAATAAAGGAAAAAGTTCACCAATGCCCCTATGATTTACTTCAGAATCACCTATGCCCCTATGATTTTTTTTTTATCATATATGCCCCTGTGGTTTGTAAAAGGTAAAACCATCATATCCTTTTGCTTAACACTGTTAAATATAACTTTACTCTACCAATTTTGCCCCTGAAAACATTATTTAATAAAATAAATCTTAGAATCAAAATATGTTACGTTATGTTGTCTTCCAATTTTGCATTACGGGATGGTTAGTTGTCTTCTTCTCTAAGGTATGCATAAGATGAATAAGAAAAGTTGTGCCAAAATAAAAAACAGCTAGACTTTGTTTACATTATGTTGGTTCACTTATGTTATTCTATCTAATAAAAATCAGCAAAATGGAACAGGTTCCAGTATATATTTTTTGCTGATTGAAAACCTTCAAAAATTTCCAAGATCTGAGGTGACTTATTTTTTGCTATAGGATTATATTGACACTCTTCAAAGCCTTCCTAAGATTAAACTGTTGGATTTGTTCTAAAGAAAACATGTGCGCTCTGTAGTTGTAATACCATACTTTTCATGCAGAAGTCCAATAACAGTGTCTAATAACAGTGTATGTAATTACTCAAAGGATCTTAACTATTTGTAACAATTTCAGATTGGTGTTGGGTTAATGGTATGTCAACAATCTGTTGGAATTAATGGTATACAGCCGACACTTTTGTAGCAGCCGGTAAGTAAGAAAAAATACATGCTGATTTTGAAAAAATCAGAAGAAATCTGTTTCTACTGTTATATTAATTCCTCTATAACTTGATTTGCAGGATTTTCTTCAGCAAGTACACCAAAGGAAGCCACCAAGTAAGAAGTAAGCCACCACAGGAAGTACAACTTGGTCTTTTGCCTTTTCTGTCACCAGCCACTGTTACGAGAAATAGGACAGAATTTGACATAGAATAACAACTTCCAAAGACTTGAGCAAGCAAAGAGTAAAGTTATATTTCAAACAGAACCAAAATAAAGCAAAAATTCTCACAAATGGCCAAATATAACCTGCTCAATTTAGCAAATCAATTTATATTAACTCAAAATAAGCAAGTGTACAGCATAACATGCTTCATCTATTATATTAACATTATATCAAATCCAAATAGTTGCAATCCACAAAATGTACATGAGTGCATTGTACTTTATCATATCAAAATTTATTTTCTTCTTGCTGCTCAATTTGTCAATCTATCATTTCTTGTGGACATTCATTAGGTGTTGAAGAAGTACCACTATGTTTTCCTCCTCTTGTAGCCATCTGTCAATGAAAAATACCATAAAATTAAGAACATATAAATAACAATATGAAGTAAAATAGCATACAAATAAGTGCATTACCTTCTGTCTCCTTAAAGGAGGTATGGCTATATGTTGTGCTTGTTCTCCTTTAAGTCTTGCCTTCCTTTGAGATGGTGTTTCTCCAATAACAGATGCCTTGCAATTTCGAACATTATGCCCCTCAACACCACAGTTTCCACACTTTACAGGTTTGTTTATCCTTGTTACCTTCTTATAAGGGTTTGAAGCCTCACCAGGCTGCTTTTGCCTCATCTTCTTAGGCCTACCGGGTGGTTTTTTTATGATAGGAGCAGCAATGGTTGAACGGCTAGTAGCTAAATAGTCATGTAGATCAGGAATGGGGTTGATAGAGGATGAATACACCTTTAGGTAGGTTTCCTTCGAGAAACACTTATCAACAAAGTCTTCTGGTGTCATCCTCCAATATCTAATTGCTGCAATCCCATGGACACAAGGTAATCCAGTTAATCCCCAAACCCTACAACTGCAACATTTCTCCCTAATGTCAGTAGAAAATGATTTTTCATGCCACATTACTTCAACCTTACTGTCAGAGGCAGGTATAACAATACATTCTCTTGATATATTTTTAAGACTTTCGAGTCTTTTTGGATATTGGGTGTTATTGGTCCAGAATATTGCTCCATACCAGTTTTCTTCACATGCAACCGTGACATTAGCTTCTTCCGAATCCATTCAAGCATTGAAATTATCGGCATTTCTCTAGCTTGCAAGATGTAAGCATTAAATGATTCAGATATATTATTAACCACAACATCAGTTTTGGCCTTGAAACTGAAATGGGATCGTGTCCAACATCTTGGGTCTAAACGCTTCAAATATGTATATGCTTTCCCATCATCAATTTTTTGCAGCTTCTTCATAGCAATATCAAATCCGTTCTCAGTTGTCGCAGTGGCTGCCTGCCATAGTAAGTCTTTATATTGTTTCCCCTTGAATTGCTTCTTGTAATTTTCAAACAAGTGTTTTACACAAAACCTGTGCTCAGTATTTGGCAAAAGATCTTCAAAAGTTTGAACTAAACCCTGTAAAAAAAATGACATAAATAAATCTCAAATTTATTAATATAGAAATTTAACATTAATAACAATGACAAAAAAATATTAATATTAAATATGCAAATTTCTGCAACAAAAAAATACTAGAATTACTCATTAAATATTGATTACCTTTTGCATATCTGACATGAATACCAAATTGGTAGGGTCAATGCCTTGCAATCCATCAAGAAGAGCAGTCATGAACCAAGTCCAACTATCTTTATTTTCTGCCTCTACAACTGCTATAGCAATCGGGAACATATTGTCATTTCCATCTCGTGCTATAGCACTTAATAGCTGACCTCCAAAATGCGTTTTTAGAAAACAGCCATCAAGACCAATTATTGGTCTGCAACCAGCAATGAATCCAGAAATCATTGCATGGAAACTAACATACATTCTCTGAAATCTGGGAGGCAATTCTTTAAATATCCCATCAACCATCACTTGAGGTTGTGGCTCTCTACTTAACCTAACTAAACTTCCAGGATTGGTCTTTATAATAGCCTCACCATATGCCTGTGACACTTCAAATTGATGAGCATGATCTCCATAAATTATCTTCATTGCCTTCCTTCTTGCTCTATACAACCTTTGCAACCCAATGTCATAACCCAAAATCCTATTTACTCGATTCCGCATTCCTAGTATTGACTCCTTTGGATTTTCTCTAAAATCCTCTAACAATTTTTTCCCTAAGTAATCAGAAGTAATAAGGTTATTTTTTGCTTCTCTAGGACATGTGTGGTCAGGGTTCCATGATTTAATTTGAAATGTATTTTCTCCTCCCACTGATGATGCATGCACTAGGAACTTACAATCTTTGGATACCTTACAAATAGCTCTTACCCTTGTCCTGTCAGATTTTTTGCATTTGTATTCAACCCCACGAGATATTGACCATTCTTTCAAAGCTTCTCTAAATTCATCAACATTAGCAAATTTCATGCCAACTGATAATTCAATGTTACCCTCCAATGCATTTTCTGACGTGAAATCAGCATAATTATCATAACATTCATGATCTTCATTGTCACTTGGGCCTATTGACTCTAGTTTATCACATGCAATAGGCTCCATAAATTCCTCCATATCTTCCTCATCTAATGACTCTATTGTTAGTGCATTGCAAACTGCATCAGTTGCCTCATCATCCAATATATCATTTTCAAAGTCACTTCCATCATCTTCCATGGCTTCAAAGAACTTAGTATCAACCACATATGGAAGTTAGATTCTAAATATCAAACGCTAAAAATTCAATAGGGAAAAAAGGAAAAAGGGCAGTTGAGCACCTGTGACAGTTCCACTGGATCACTTTGAGTTGTAAAGTCAAATGCTTCATCCAAAGGAGGCGATAAAAGACCTTCTTCATCCCCTATTTCTTTTCGGTCACTACAATCCAAAAGACCAATAATATGTAAGATTAATTAAAATAGTATAAACATTTGTATACTAGAATTATGGTTCCTAATAATACTTAAAAGCAAAGAAAGTTAGGTGGACCGCTTTATATACTGCATTAGTTTTATAAACATTGGAAGCTTCATGCCTTCTTATAATGTTATAACCTGCTCCTATAGATGTTCATGTTCCCACGTTACTACACCCCATTAACCCAACTATATATTGATACACAGCAGAGAAAACAGAGCAAAAAAAGATCAAAGAGAAGTCTTCCTTTCTTTCCATTTAAAAACACATTTCCAGACATGATAACATTTCTGGATAGTCTACCTGCAACAAGTCCCAATTATCTGATGTTAAAGCTCATAAAATAGGATTATTCATAATTAAGATTCTGAACAATATATGGTCTATCTTCTGAGACTCTTGATTACTTAGTCTTCACCTACCTTTTTTTTCTTCTTCTTCTTCTTTTTAAATAATGCATAGTCAAGCATATAAAAGCATTTTGTTAAGGCTTCTGTTTGGAGAATACAATGATTTTACATTTATTTTCATTTTTCAGCAGAAGCACTAAGGTTCTTTTATAACCAAAGTCCGTGACAAATAGTCAGACATTCATAAAGTCCTCCTTGCTAAAGGGTAGATGCTATTCAATTGTCAATAAATGAAATGTGTTTTTCCAGAGAGGAAAGGAATGGGCCATAGTGAGGAGAACTCATTTATTTTTCCATGTGTGGGTAAACCTAATGGCTAATTTTAGCTATCTTAAATTAATCTTTAAAATTCTAAGGTTTTGCTTCACTGTTTGAAATGATATAAAAAAAATGGTACTGTATTTAATGGCTTCATGTTCATTTTTACCCTCATGTGTCAATCTATAATACCTTCAATCGTACACTGTGACAATGTTTCCTTGAATAAATGGCCCACTGCATTAGTTTTATAATGATGCAATGTTGAATATTTGACACATGTGATTGATGAATCTATCAAACAAATTAAAATATGAAACCCGATGGTGACCCTTTTAACCATTCAAGTCAAACATTGGAAGCTTCATGCCTTCTTATAATGCTATGACCTGCTCCTATAGATGTTCATGTTCCCACGTTACTAAACCCCATTGACCCAACTATATATTGATACACATAGCAGAGAAAAAAAAAGATCAAAGAGAAGTAGTAATATCAAGAGCTGCAACTTTCTAAAATGGCAGAGATATATAAGAGAAAAAATGACAATATTTACCCAGCAAGAGCACGCCTTTTTCGTTCAAGATGGTCATCTTCTTCTGCATCCAGAGCTCTTTTGTTTGCTGGTCTCTGTATTTGCATGTCACAAATGTAAAACAGTGACAAAATCAAACGGAACAAAAGGAGACAAAAATATGGAAAACCCTATTATAATCAACAAGAAAAAGTAATATTTTTACCATAATTTCAACCTTTAACCCAATCGAATATTTGATTTGAGGAAATCCTAGAAGAAGAGGCACAGGAACTTGAACGAAATAGGAAAAGGTAGTGCAAGGGTTTCTTTTTGCACGTAGATGGGCATAAATGGAATGAAAAAATAAACTTTTAACGGTGTTAAGCAAAAGGATATGATGGTTTTATCTTTAGCAAACCACAGGGGTATATGTGATAAAAAAAAAACCATAGGGGCATAGGTGATTCTGAAGTAAACCACAGGGGCATTGGTGAACTTTTCCCTTCAATAAACTATAACAATCAGATTAACACGTTAGCCATCACTGTTCCCCCGCACTCCGGATTAGTCCATAGTCGGCTCAAAGAGTCGAAGCTCGTGGGGATACCGAAGGGAGCCAACAATCAGATTAACACGTTAGCCATCACTGTTCCCCGCACTCCGGATTAGTCCCATAGTCGGCTCAAAGAGTCGAAGCTCGTGGGGATACCGAAGAGAGCCAACTCGTCTCAAAGAGATAATTAGAGTTGGGTAACTCTGAAAAAAAAATTAACACGTTAAAATTTGGTGATAAGAAAGGATAAACTTTCGTAAATATAATCTTCGTCACGTATAATTGCTCATCCATTACTTTCGCTTGTTTCAGTTATTACTAGCTATAGACTCGCTACTTGTTTGTGTTGTGGACCATAATCACAATGAAACAACTGCATCTGTTCTCATCTCTTTTCCACTTGGGCTCTCCATTATTCATGCAAGGTGCAGTAAATGGCGTTGATGAAACTTGGATCAAAATCTGATGCATTTCGATGTGAAGGCCAAACGTGGTAAGCATTTTTTTTTTTTTTTATCAAAATCAAATCAATATATTGCTCCAATCGGTTGTGTAACTTGTGTTAGTGAATCAAAATGGATCTTATAATTCTATGATTTTTCTGGTTTGTATGCTTTTGGGGTGGCGCTAGCTCGAGTAATTAGTCATAAAGCTTTTTACTTTTTATTATATACATGTTTTTTTTTTTTTTAATCTTTTTGTTTTGATCTTTTGGGATGGTAAAGGTTTTTAATTTCATCTGCATTGTCCTATAATTTAAGTCATCTTGACTTTGGAATAAAAAATTTAGAGAATGTCCCTCCACAAAATATACAAGTTGTTACCTTAATTAATGCTGCTAAATATTTAGCATAATCAACATCTTATTTGTAATTAAAAGTGGTGAATGTCATGCTAAAAGCATATCACTACCATATTTACTTGGATAAAAAGGAAAAACACAATTGGGCCATATCAAATTTTAGGTGGAGTTGGGAAAAATGTCAATTGTTGATTGTTTTCAGGTATACAGCAGTATAACACCCCGAAAGAGAAGACTGAAAATTAATATCTAGCTGGTTGAAGGATCAAGTTGTTATGTTTCTTAAGGGCTCAATTCTAATGACATTGAAGTATGATCAAGAAGAGATATATAACATCCTAATAGTTATCTACTATGCTGTTCAGTTCTTTTGGAACTGATTTTCCTACGTAAAAACACACTTGCAAAATAAAGAACAAGCATCAAAGAACTTATATCTTTGTATAGCATACTTAACTTCTAGCTAGGAATTGTAATTTTTTATTCCTTTACTCAAGCATATACTGCTGTCCTTTTAGCTCGTTGGTCAAAATTTTTAAATATATTAATTATTTTTTATTTCAGGCTTTGTACAACCGGACTTCCAAGTGATCTTACCATTGAAGTAGGCGAAATTTCTTTTTTTCTCCACAAGGTACATGTTTGAATTGAAATTTTGTTGAAAATGAATTTTGATGCATGCACTATCCTTTTTTTTTAATAACACTCTTTGCCTTCCATGCCTTTGTGGGCCTCTATCAAATGCTGACCTCAACTATGCATTCATGCTCATGATGGACCTTAGTTTGTTTCTACATCTGTGATTTTTATGTTGCAGTTTCCATTGCTTTCTAGAAGTGGATTACTGAAGAAACTCATTGCTGACTTCTCAAACGAGGATGGATCAAGTTTTGTTTTGCAACTTCATGATGTGCCTGGTGGGGATAAAACATTTGAGCTTGTAACCAAGTTTTGCTACGGTATAAAAATAGAAGTCACAGCATTAAATGTGGTAGGTCTAAGATGTGCTGCAGAATACCTACAAATGAATGAAAATTATGGTGAAGGGAACCTAGTTACACAGACAGAGGCATTTCTCAATGAAGTTTTAAGTAATTGGTCAGATTCCATAAAAGCTCTTCAAACATGTGAGGAAGTTAAATCTCATGCAGAAGAACTCCATATTGTTTCAAGGTGCATTGATTCCTTGGCCATGAAGGCATGTTTTGACCAAAAAGTGTTCAATAGAACTGTGGCTGGAAGTGATTGCTCACAGAACCAAGCTATAGACCCTGCCTCATGGAATGGAATTTCTTCTGAGACTAAATCACCAACTCCTGGTGATGATTGGTGGTATGAGGATTTGTCTATGTTAAGCCTAGCCCTATATAAACGAGTTATTTTATCCATTGAAGCAAAAGGTATGAAACCTGAGAATGTTGCTAAGTCCCTCATATATTATATTAGAAGGTTTGTCCCCTTGATGAACAGGCAATCTAGCTTCAATGATAAAAATAATGTAAACCAAGGGACACCAGCTAATACAACTCCTGAAGCAAATCAAAGGGCATTGCTGGAAGAAATTGTAGGTTTGCTTCCTAATAAGAAGGGGGTCACACCCTCCAAGTATCTCCTTAGGTTGCTACGCACAGCCATGATATTACATGCAAGTCCATCATGCATAGAAAATTTGGAGAAAAGTATTGGATATCAACTTGACCAAGTTGAACTTGTGGATCTTCTCCTTCCAAATATGGGGTACTCGGTTGAGACCCTCTATGATGTAGACTGCATTCAGAGGATCATTGATCATTTTATGTCTATATACCTGCCTGCAACTGCATCAACTTCTCCATGTATAACTGAAGAGGGGCCATTGATAGCTGGAGCTGATGCACTGACACCTATGACTTTGGTGGCAAATTTGGTGGACACATATCTTGCTGAGGTGGCTCTTGATGTTAATTTGAAGTTGCCTAAGTTCCAGGCCCTTGCTTCTGCAATTCCTGATTATGCTAGACCACTGGATGATGGTTTATATCATGCAATAGATGTGTACCTTAAGGTAAGGTCATGTTGGAAACCTAGCTTGCCCAAGAATCTGTTTCTGTGCATTTTAGTGTGACTTTTCCAGTTAACCAGATGATGTGACAAATAGTTGTTTTAATTTTTAAAAATAGACCCAAGTTCTGAAGATTTTCATGCTTCAAGTAAAGAATTTATAATTATTTATTTCAAAGCTGTCATTGCCTTATGCACAGACAAATAGAGCAAGAAGATAATATTCTCAGCTACTTAAATGCATCTTTCAATGAACATAGAAAGAGAAAGATATAATAAGTGCTTAACAAAGTCTATTAGTGGTTGACTACCAAATAAAAAGTCTGTTAGTAGTTGAAATGAAAGAATAAATCATGAAAAGAATACTACCAACTTTTATAATTTAGTGACAAAACCTCAACGATCTCAATTTTATAATTCTAATTTAATATACATTTATGACAACTACAGGCACATCCTTGGCTCATAGATTCAGAAAGGGAGCAATTTTGTAGACTCATGAACTGCCAAAAACTCTCACTGGAAGCAAGCACACATGCAGCACAAAATGAAAGATTACCACTCAGACTAATTGTGCAGGTCCTCTTTTTTGAACAGCTTCGACTCCGCACATCAATGTCTAGCTGGTTGTTTGCCTCTGACAATCTTGAGAACTCACAAAACCGTAATGGAAATCTTGGCCTTCCAAGGAGTAATGGCAATGGTCAACTAGATCATGCACAGCAGGGTGGTGAAAACTTGAGGGAACGTGTCTCAGAGCTAGAGAAGGAATGTTCATGCATCAGGAGTGAGCTTCAGAAGTTGGCTAAGACAAAGAAAAGTTGGAGCATTTTCCCAAGATTCTTTAGGAAGAATTCCTAGTGTTGCAATCTAATAGAATCATATGCCTGCAATATAAGCACACCATCGTCCATAATGAAAGGAAAACCAAATCATTAAAATTGTTAAGGTTCACTAAAAATCATAGCTCAGGTGTGGAGATCATGTTCACTGTTCAACTACATCTTCTATTTTTCTATCAATTGAATGGAGTAGAGACTTTCGAGTTGACAATCAAATTATTGGTAGGAATAATATATTACTTGTACTGTTGGTGTATATAAATGTCTCCCGTCAGGGTGAAGTATGTTGATATAGGAGGTGTCCATAGTGGCAATGTAAAGACCAAGCACTAGTGGAGCTTCCCATGGTGCATAAAGGGGAGTGTGTGTGGAAGTGGCTAAGGTGGCTCTCCATGGTCACAGCCGTAGAGGCTGAGTGGAGAAGAAGCGGTCCTCTCCCTCAATGTGAGAGGGGGTATTTAGAGCAAGAGCCCTAGTCAACCTAGCCAGCCTAGCCTTTTCAGGCTAGGCATGCTGAACCCCTGCCCTTGTGCAGGGGCAGCTCGTGTGCATGGGGAAGAGGGGGCATCCTATGATGCCTTCTAGAAGTTGGCCTTTTAGATTGGGCCCAGTAGTGGGCCTATGCATGTGGGCTATCCAGAACAGAAGCCCCCCAGCTTGGTAGCTTTGCGAAGCAAGGGTGCCAAGATGTATGGCAGCTTAGGCCGGTTATTCGTAGTGTGTAGTGTTATAAGCAGGATATAATGTAACCGAACGATAATACGTCGGCCTTCATGAGTTGCTTATTTGTTGTCGTCGAGTATGAATTGTCTGATTGGCGATGCTTAAATACTTCAAGAAAATCTTCTATTATGGCTTGCAATTATGCTGAACTTTGTTGTCTTCGAAGATGCGTCTTGTTATTGAGGAAGGTCTTCAAATATTGTTGAAGTAGTAATAAGCTGGCGAGCCCATGTTGAATCAAGTACCCTGTAGATGATGACAACTGGAACAAGAAAGTCTTGACCGTCTGATAATAATAAAATAATGTTGACAGGATTGCAGATCCGAGCTTCGTGAGATAAATAAAGTAGTAGATGAGATTTTCCGGAGAGGATGATGTGTTCCAAAATAGAGAATCTCCATCACTTTCTATTTTGGAACACATCATCCTCTCCGGAAGATCTCATCTACTACTTTATTTATCTCACGAAGCTCGGATCTGCAATCCTGTCAACATTATTTTATTATTATCAGACGGTCAAGACTTTCTTGTTCCAGTTGTCATCATCTACAGGGTACTTGATTCAACATGGGCTCGCCAGCTTATTACTACTTCAACAATATTTGAAGACCTTCCTCAATAACAAGACGCATCTTCGATGACAACAAAGTTCAGCATAATTGCAAGCCATAATAGAAGATTCTCTTGAAGTATTTAAGCATCGCCAATCAGACAATTCATACTCGACGACAACAAATAAGCAACTCATGAAGGCCGACGTATTATCGATCGGTTACATTATATCCTGCTTCCTAAGCTGCCATACATCTTGGCACCCTTGCTTCGCAAAGCTGCCAAGCTGGGGGGCTTCTGTTCTGGATAGCCCACATGCATAGGCCCACTACTGGGCCCAATCTAAAAGGCCCACTTCTAGAAGGCATCATAGGATGCCCCCTCTTCCCCATGCACACGAGCTGCCCCTACACAAGGGCAGGGGTTCAGCATGCCTAGCCTGAAAAGGCTAAGCTGGCTAGGTTGACTAGGGCTCTTTCTCTAAATACCCCCTCTCACATTGAGGGAAAGGACCGCTTCTTCTCCACCCAGCCTCTACGGCTGTGACCATGGAGAGCCACCTTAGCCACTTCCACACACACCCCCCTTTATGCACCATGGGAAGCTCCACTAGTGCTTGGTCTTTACCATTGCCACTGTGGACACCCCCTATATCAACATACTTCACCCTCACGGGAGACATTTATGTACACCAACAGTACATTACTCAAAAAAGAAAAAGAAATCCCCCAAGAGTGATGTATTTTATTGTCATAGAGATGTTATTTGTACATCATAGTTTTGATATAATATTTGGGTTGAGATAAATTTATTTCTTACACATTGCATAAAAGTGTGTGGAGCCCATGTGGATCTATGTGAAGAGAAGAGAAAAAAAATGGATCCCACATATTTTTATATGTGTGTAAGAAATAAATTCATCTCTTATAACATGAGAAACATTAAACCAGTAATATTTATGCCACTTTAGTCTTCCTATAAAATGTCTTAAAAATAAAACTTACTTACACTCTTGTTTTTTATGTTTAATGTTTATTATGCATGTGTTCTATCTATTTTAATAAAAAATAGTCGAAATTCACTTACATTTGTATATAAAACAAAAAAAAAAACAGAAAATAACAAATTCATTAGGTAACTTGTTATCTCATAAATGTTTCGGGAATAAATGTTTTTTTTATCCTTATTTACCTTACATAATAAAAAGAACAAATTCATCTTGTTGCAACTAAATTCAGTGTTCATCTTAGTTCACAATCATTGGAATTAACGGTTGAGCTCTATCAAATGGATATATTTGGTTTTTACACTTTCAAGACATATAAGAGTCAGCAAGAAACATAACGGCGACATATGAAATAATTAGTAGGGGTGATAATTTTCAACATGATCTTTTAATACGATATGAGAAATTTATGATGAGTAAACTGATATTTAAATTCACATTGTATTCGTGTTGACAAATTCTGACATAAAATATTTATATCGTATTACGTGACATCTCGCAAGCACACATAGACCCGTATTAATATTTATTTAGGAAAAGTGTTTGTCATTTTAAAGGATGTAAAGTTGTGTTATTTTAATAAAGAGAAAGAGATAGATAAATGAGGAGAGAGAGTTGACAAAAAAAAGTAAAGGTGTGGGTCCCACCTCTTTGTAAGAGTGAAAGGATATAAGTTGTGTCATTTAAAATGATAAACATTTTTTCCTATTCATTTAGGTTGTTAGTTATGTGTTGTATCATGTGAACACGATAAATTATTCATGTTTTATCGTGTTAACTAGTATAATAAATGAGATACTTTAAGATTGATGAAGTATTTATATCGTGTCCATCCATGAAATAAGTATGTTCGTATGAAAGATTTTTGACAATAGTTTTTAGTGTTATTAAACCTGACCCGAGCGTCGACCCGGTAGGAGTACTGGGTTATTGGGTCACTACTCGGACCGATTAACCCGAATATATAAAGATATATAAAAATATATATAAATATGAATATATAAATTCAATTATATTCTCGATATCTAAAATGAATTAAATAAGGTTCATTAAATAAGTTCAAAAACATGAAGCATAAATAAATAAAAATGCATGCTATTATTATGTCAATTTAAATTGCAACTAAGAATTCCCATAAACATACTTCTCAATGACATTGAACTCATATTTTTCAAATTCAACTACATTAAAAATGACATATGTCACATTCTCTCAATCTATTATTCCGCAAATTGTTTCAGTATTGGAAGCTAAAATCTGAGGTCATTGCAGAAGATCAGTATACTAGCAAATAAAATTACAAAAAGTTTTTAAAATGGGTTCTACATTTTTTTGATAAGATGAAACAATTTTAGTTTTTTAGTTTTTTTTTTAAATGCATAACCCGACCAGGTTACTGCGTCATCGGGTCACCGATTTAGAACGGATTTGGCCGAATTTTGACCAGGTCGATGCATGACCGATCCAATGTTTGACTCGAATCGATCCAATGATTAGTTCGCCGGGTTCCGAATCGTCCCGGCCGGCTCAGGTCGGGTTTTACAAATATAGTTTTTATCTATGAGTGATTTTTTGTTCATATTAGACCTTGACTCGAAACAAATATGGTGTGTTGACGTATTTCCATTCCTAATAATTATGAGCTTATAAAAGTGAATAATTTAACCATGGGTTTTATAAAAGTTTTGTTATAAGAAAAGTGATTGTGTAATGTTATAGAGATTTGTTTTGCGTACCGTAATTTTTTTTTTTTTTTTTCAAAAAGTGTGAGCCACACAAAATGTTGTGTGTGTAAGAAAATTTATTGTGTCATGTTAAATGACAAATACAAGTCCCTTTAACCATATACGAACAAGTGATGTATTAGTCAACAAATAATCATAAAGTCAAGATGAATTATTTGAACTCGGCAAGTTAATCATCATAACACCTAACTACAATACAATATATATATCACTAGCTAAAAACTTGGTAAATAAATTTCTTAGGGTTGACAATGCTTTAGGTTATGTTATAACTTTTTTATATAAATTTAATTTTTATGTAAACATTTATAATAAGAATGCATATAGCAAATACAAAATATATATAAAAAAAGAGGAACATTATTCTCATGACCTCTTTTTGCTTACAACCTATTTGTTCACTGTTGATTTTTGTCAATTCAACAGTTATGATTTATTAGGTCATATTTATTAATTAATTATTAATTCAAATAAATTATAATTGTTGGATTAACAGAAACAAACAATGAAATAGATAGATTGTAAGAGTAACGTTCCTCGTGAAAAAAATTTACTTAATAACTTCCTATCCTAAAGAATTCGAAGGTGTTGGACTAATTCAACACAGCAGTTTACTTCACATGTGCAAAAACTATTGTCCCTTAAGGATCAACTTTATAACATCCATTACAAATCTATAATTCCTTAAGGCTGATAATCAGTCATTCAGAATTAATACGATTTTGGTTCCCACCAACCCTAAGCCTTAGTTCAAGCGATTCAGTATCAAGTTTGTGGAGGATGAAATAAGGGGCATAAATATATTGAAGGGTTATGTTTATCTCATTTTACATTAGATAAATAATTTTCCTACCCACATAAAAAAAGATTGGGTTCCACCACTCTTTTTTTTTTTCTCTCCTCTTACCTGTGAGTCTCACTTGTAATTTTATTTCTACAACATAAGATAACTACTTACTTGCAACATAAAAAAAATATTTCCCTTATTTAAT